CCTCTTCATCACAGAATCATTTGATTGGCCTCGTAATGTGATGCTTATGATCTGATCCAACCTTGCCTGGATGTACCTATCCATCAGTCATGCACAAAAAGTCAAAACAAAGTTTATAAAAGGGCAAGAATTTTACTACAAGCTTGTAAAATTGTTCAGTAAAAAATTACAGACCACACCGTATCAAGGGTCAGATTGTGTGCTACAAATAACTAAACTTGAAGAAGTGTAGGGCATAGACACAAGAGAGACGCCGTTAATTATTGTGTAACTACTGTACAATCTGTAATTCATTTTCCTCCTGGCTGTTACCTCAGTTCCCTGAACGATGCAACAGTGACTGGGGCAGGTCCACAAGATGGCAATCTCTGCATAGAGTTTGTTCATTTTCAACTCGTACACCGACAATATTAATAATACAGGAATGAAACTACAGTAAACCTCACATATGCCATATCAGTCGTGACCATAACATTTAATATGACTTACTCGATGTCCGAGTTGCAGGCAAATTGTGTAAATGGTATAAAATCCAATTTAATGAATAATCTACACTGCTCATGTGTAATTCATTGTAGCCTGTAAGTGCACCTCCAGTGACAGGTCAAGGCTACGTTTCCCGTGATTCAGTGCATCTTGACCCTTTGCCGCATGTGCATTTACCAGCAAGCTTTGGAATCGCATTTGAATCGCTGGAAATGAACAAGCAGTGCAAAGAAATCTAAGTGGTTGTGATTGGAAACTGAATGGGACTAGTACGATGATTATATAATTTATAAAGACAAGACTTATGTGAGTGTTACTGTACTCAAAACTCAGGTCAGCTTTATTTTGTGGGTGCGTTAAAATTGGTGATTCACGTCATGGCTGTGTGTGGCACACATTTTGCCATGTGCAAATTGGCTGCCACATTCGTCTACAAAATATACAGTCAGTAAACGTCATAAAATATCCTGTGAAGTGCTTTGAATCATCCTTCCAATGTGAAAGGTGCTAAACCAAATGGAGAAATAAGGCCAACAGTAGCATTTTTTTGACCACTGACATCAGCTAATTCAGCACAGAACCCATGATCTACACCATCTACAGGTTCAGTAGCCGTCTATCAATATCTCACTACTAAGACAACAAAAACTAAACGTCTAAATCAACCAGCTGAACCCCTCGCAGCTACGCTTGCAACCAAAGGATCCCATATGAAATGTAGATTGACACACAAACAGACACACAGGTAAACATTTCATCTTTATCTATACTCATCTGAGAGGACTCCTGTGGGAGGATTTTGTTCTTCAGTTTCATTTAATGGGCCTTCTTTCTTTTGTCTAGCATTTTTACTTATCCTTGAAAGGTTTGATTTTTGCTTAGGCATCTTTGTAATGATAAAATATAAATGTATAATTTATAATCACTGGGACTTCCTCACGATGTGAACGGTGCTTTAAAAATATAATTTTATTGTTGCCACGGCTTAGCTTCATTTGTGTTCTTTATTTTGTGCCTGCCGCTTGGCTACCTGCGTGCTCTGTGACACAGGATGTCACAGCACCACAATCAGCTGCCACGGCCACCAGGTGTAACTGCAGTGCGTGCGTACATATGTACGTGCTCTGTGATGCACAATGCCACAGCGCCACTTTGACTCGGCAGCCACCAAGTGTAACTGCGGCGAAAAGCGCAAAACTGAAATAACTCAGAAACGATAGGAGATATCCGAAAACAAATATGCCCATGTCACTCCCAGTTGCAAGACCTTTTCGATGAGGTATAAATCATGTCTCTACATCAATTAGTTATTGAGATCCTTCTTGAAGCGCAGACAGACATTTGTCATTTTATTCGTATATATATATAAAATAGATAGAAGATAACCTCACTGGGCTGAACTCTCAATTGGTCCCATTGTTTAAGCAGGTTTCGATGACACACATCAACCTGTAGCTTCAACACATGACAGATGTGGGGGAAGTCACACACTCTGTGATGACGTTTAGCATAAATGTTAATGTTTGAAAACAAAATTAGATACAGGACTGTATTCTTTCAGATGAACCTGCTCAAGGACAAAGTCATGTTGGGCACCCCTATCTTTTAAGCGAGTACTATTCCTTTAAGTGAGTACATGTTCGAGCTGTCAGTGTAGCATTCGAGAGTCCTCGAGTATTTGACAATAATAATGATAAATTGGTCTTTGGACAAAATTGGTCATTCACTTCATGGCATTTGCTGTGCGAAAATTGGCTGCCGCATTTGAGTACAAAGGACACACTCCCTACTTTAAGGTAAATCCTGTCAAGCTCTTTGAAATGTCCACCCGACATGAAAGACCCCATATCAAATGCAAGAATTAATTATTATTAATAAATGCCATGTTTGTTAGATAGGTTCAGTAGACCCAATATCAGATGATAAGAGTTTCTCTTGGCTAATAATCATCGGACGTTCACCTCATGGCTGTTTGTGATTGGGAATTTGCTGGTTGCTGTGCTTGTCTGCAGAAGTAGTTACTGCACTTGACTATAATTACCTGTGAAGTACCTTGAGCCATTTCAACATGATAAGGCTTTCTAAAAACATGGGAGGTCTTTACTTAATTCTAACCAGCAGAATTTTGTTGTTTTCTGTATATCAATACAGGGGCATTAAACTACTCTAACTGATCTCATGTACAATATTAAATTGTTTCAGTCTTCGTAGAAAACTATTGCAACAGGTAGGAGCAGAATCAGGCGGAGGAAAATTGTCATGTGGCTTCAGTTTGGCCCTTTGAGCAATACAAAACACATTCTGAATATATTAACCTCTTTCAGATGGGTGATGCATTCGGAAAAAAACATGTTAAATTATAAGCTCATTTCAATCTGTGCTGGTGAATAAAAATGTCTGTCACTGGGCAAATTATGGCATAAATCGAGAAATATTCAATCCAGAAAATTTATTTTGTTGGCCAACCTGTAGGCAAACCCTGTGGCCAATTTGTGCACAGGAATTTCCCACAAACAGTCATGAAGTGAATGACCATTTTATTTGGGGGATTGTTGGCCGGGATAAAGAGAAAGACAGTGAGTTGGCCAGAATAATAGAGCAGAACTTCATGAAAGATATTTTAATCCTTGGTGAACCAACTGACTGCACTGGTAACAAGCTGAACAGGGAAAGTAAATCCCATTAAATCACGTAACAGCAGTCGGACTTTTATTTGCAGGTACAATCCGCCTGTGGTTTAATGCCATATTAATGAAACCTTTCAGTAAAAGATCTGCTCCTTCAGAGCAAGCAAGGGTTAGAAACATTGCCTGCTGGAAATGTTGGGAGGATGAGAATCTATATATAGTTGTCGATACGTTTCAAAGCACTTCACAGAATATACTGTAAAGTGAATCGACTCTATATTTTGTGGGTGAAACGCAACAGCCAATTGCGCACAGCAGTGACCAAATAATTATTCATATTTCGCGCATATATAGTCAATTCACTTTACAGTATATTCTGTGAAGCGCTTTGGGACATCTAGAAGACGTGAAAAGCGCTATATCAAATGCAAGAATTATTATTATATTATTATTCATATTTATTACGTTTTTCGAAGGGATTATTACCCCTGAAAGTGATCCGTCAATCGACTAACAAATAGGTTCCTATTTACTGCTAGGTAAACAGAAGATGGAGAAAGGAAACTTGCCCAAGGTTTCGCCCTGCCCAGGAATCGAACTTGGATCCTCTAACTTGCAAGGCGGTGCTCTAACCAATACGGGACAGGATTCCACATTTACCTAACCAGGCTTTGCTGAAACGTTTCTGTTTTTCCAATTGCAATTATAAGGAGGTGTTATTGCTTTTATTGAGAAAGTGAGCATTGCTAAGACTGAAGGATTGGAAGAGACGGTGTACTTTAGATCGTAAACCCCCAAAATAAATAGGACTATCCATTAAAAAGCACTGCTATAGGAAGGTGATAGGAGGGAGGAGAGGGGTATAAAATGCCACAGAAATCTACAGAGGAAGCTATATTTATACAAAAAAGAGGCTATCCTTGGAGCTAAGTGACATTTTACCCCGGAACAGAACATTAGAACCACTTACTTCACATCCCAATTAGGCTCTAAAAATAGATAGAAGAACTTGCATTTATATAGAGGCAGCGTCTCAGAGCGCTTATCAGTGGCGGAGCTTGACACTGAGCCGGGGGGAGGGAGGCGGTGACTGTAAGCACGGTCGAAAAGGAAGGTCTACTATTCATTTAAGCACAGAGGAAGGTAAACTATCAACAACAACAACTTGCATTTATATAGTGCCCTTAACGCAGGGTAGTGTCTCAGAGCTGTCTCCCCAATCAGGCTATCAATTACACCCTTTATAACTGGTGTAGTGCAGGTCTCTCAATCTGCAATGAATAAAACCATTTTCCTCAGAAAGACCAATATAATACATCAGTACACTCCTCAACGTGAACACAAGCCACTTCATCCACACAGATTGCAGGCTGTCTGTCTGCAGGCTACATTTCGTACATTCTCTACTCATTTTCACCACCTCAAAATAAAAACCTGTCCTGTCGGCTTTCTAAGTTACAAAATCTTCCCGTCTTTTGGGGCACGTTATCTGCCACTGTGCAATTTCAAAAAACCACTGAGAAGAAAGGCATTGGGCAGTCTATGATACTGAATAATAGCTGCCTGGAAATTAACTCTTTCCAAGTCTAATCATGTCGTCTGCCTTTATATACAACAACAACGTGTATTTATATAGCACCCTTCACAGGATACCTTCTCGCAGTGCTGTAAAGAAACAACAGATGTCACTAAACATTTAATAGTGTTTCAACAGCACAGGCATTCATTCAACTTCACAGGGCATAACGCACTTTAGTCCATCTGCAACACCAAAGCATCTGAATTACTTCACAAACTCCTCAGCAAAACAGATCAGAAACTTGTCGATGGGGCCCAGATCTTAAACTCAGAGCCCAAGCAGTGAATCTGAAACATAAATGTCCTTACCCTGCTATGAAATGTTCCCCTAATTCAATCCAACCGTAATACTTCCAAGATATCTGCACAGAAGGGAGCACAGTACGTTATGTTAGCCTTAGAGACTGAGGTTTCCACCCACACAAGGATGGTGGGCGGGTACTGCAGGAAATTAAAGTGCTTTGGAACAAAAAACATGCACCAGGCGTTCCTTCAGTAGTGCAGGGCAATGATGTAAAAGTACACTACCCTCCCCCAGTAATGCCATCGTATATTTCTATTTGTTTATATAGCAACCAGGGCATAGCTTGACAGCAGCTTTGACTCACAGCGCTTTGCTTCGCCAGGAGAGAAAAAAGGCACTGGAATCACAGCTCAGAGATCGACAGCGTTTACTGGGGCTCATCACAGTGATAGATTATTATAGATTATGTTGTCTCTTCCAATCAAAAATATATCATCCGTCACTGGACAGGCCCCACTCACTATTACGACTACCAGAACTACAACTTGCATTTATATATCGACCCTCACGCAGGTAGTGTCCCAGAGCCTGACAGTGGCGGAGCATGATGCTGAGCCGCGGGGGAGGGGAGGTGAACGTATGGACTGGCAAAGTGCGAGATACTCTGACAGGATCTGTAAAGGGGGAAGGAGGGGGAAGGCAGAGAGATTGTGGGAGAGACTTCCAAAGTTTCAGGGCGTAGTGGCTGAAAGTGGCTACCAACTGAGCCAAGTATGGAGGTGAGGCAGGAGAGTGATTTAGTGGCCAAAACACAGTTCAGGACAGTGGGGACATCTTGGGAAAAAGAAAGAGACAATCAGAAAAAAACAAAAGGGAGATTTGACAGCAGACAGTAAGAGTGGAGTCTTGGGAGGCAGCGTAGAAACAAATGAAAAAGACAACCATCACCAGAACATTAGACCAAAAGTTACAGTTTCAATGCAAACTACTCAAGACATCCCCGGGCGGAACCAAACAGAAAAAAAGCAGTCATGCACGGTGATTGAAAGGGTGAAGAGAACAAATGAGACTTAAAAGAGACAGTGAACTGAAAAGGAAATAAGCAGAACAAGATAAGTGGGGGGAAAAAAACAGGGAACAATTTATGATACAGCCAGTAGGGAGTTAAGAGCGAGTGCTAAATGGCGTCTACTTTATTTCCAAAAAAAGAGAAGGGAGTTTCTCTTTTCTGGTGTCCTGGCCAATAATCCCCCCAAATAAAATTGGTCACTCACTCCATGGCTCTTTGTGGGACATAGCTGTGCATAACTGGTTGCCGCATTTGGCCACAAAATATAGTCAATCCAATTTACAGTACATATGTGAAGCACTTTGAGATGTCTTAACAATGTGATAAAGGGCTACGTGATATCAAATGCAAGGGTTATTATTATTACTTTACACTGGGCTTTCGGCTGCACTAGGGGCAGTGCTCAAGCACAGAGTGACCACACTTTCAAACTGGGGGAGAAAGGAGTTCAGAAAGAACTCCGGAAAACTAGCTTCAAAATTAATTCTGCTTTCAGAGCAGAGCTCATTGAGGGCATTCAACAAGATAATCACGTGTGGAATTAGGTAAATGTGGTGCGTCTCTCTCAGGAGCAAGAGCGCACTCCATTCCAGGCACAGGGAAGTTTCCATACATAGGTGCCAATGCATATGGGGACCTGTTTTGTAATTTGGTTTGGAAACTCTTAAGCATGGCAGTGGGTTTCCGCCTGTGTTAGACACCCGGCTGACCAAAGAAAAATGCGAGGAATGGTATTAGAGGCTTTGGGGAAGGAGCAAATGGAATGGAATAGATGATTTCACTAATACACCAATACAAATAAAATAGGCCAAATGGTCTCCTACTGTGCCGTAGATTTCCATAGTATAGTCCAGTTCTTTAAATATAAAAAATCCCAGCATTTTCCATGTTTGTGGTTAGCTGAATTGATGATTAAACTCCAGCAATACCCAAGCAAGCCTCTGGGGTCCCCAAGCCTTGGCTTTCACCAACCTGCGCCTAATATTCTCCGGAATTAATTAAATGGAGTGTGTCCCTCCAGGGAGATTGAGCACATTCTATTCCAGACAGGGAAATTTCCAATGTGTAGGTGGCGTACATATGTGGAACTCTCAAGTTTGGTTTGGATACTCTTAAGCATGGTGGTGGGTTTTCGTATGCGCCAGTTACCCATCTGACCAAAATAAACAGGCTCTCCTTCCTCCTCCCACCCCCCCATAGTCAAAATAGCTTGCCCCTTGAACATCCCCCACAGCTGTACTCAAATAACATGCCAACACTGTCAAGAATAACACAATGAATGGCTGCACAATCTGGGGGAATGGCTTCTAATGATACAACATTGTAACACTGCTTCATGTTCCCCGGGTGTATCCAATGGCACGGTCAAACTAAGAACTGATAGCGTAACCGGGGTTACACATTTCGGTCCAAGGATACATGCAATAAAACTATAAAATGAGGTCACTGCATCGCAGAAGAGTCAAAGTAAATATAGTATTTAAAAATAGTCCCCCTCCCCCCCAGCCCCAATTGCTTGCCCTAAAATGCAGAATACAGCAAAACAGACCTTCACAAAAGGAGCTTACAACATCCAGTACCAGAAAGAATATATTAAGTGGAGACAGAAAGTGGCTTCGGTTTTATTAGTCCTTCTCACCGTGAGTGCTGTCCCATATTGTCGGTGATCTGAGGGAGCTACACCATCGACTGAAGAGATTACACAATTCTTTCTCATACAAAACACAAGCTTTTGTGTACGCACAATCAACTGGGAAACAGTTACAGTTCAAACACTGGTATGCAAAAAATGCCTTAATCAGATTTGTACCTCAGCAGGGATCAGTGTACTGCGACAATGGGAAGGAGCCTTCCCTGAGTCAAATCGGAGTCATGTCATCACAAACAGTCACCGCTCCAAGTTAAAGCCTACAAATCGCCCGCAGAGTCGGCTGCAGTGTAAAGGGGGCGAATCCAAGCCGATCGTTGATACGCAACACAGACCTCCATCATAATGCACGAGATGCAACTACAACCGATAGCCTACAAAATACACAGTCATTATACTCTACAATAAATCCGTTCAGCACTTTGAGGTGCCTATAGGATACAAGAATTATTAGTATTATAAGGCACTATATTGACTGCAAGGATCACTATTTTGTTAATATGTATACAACGCCTTTCACGTACAATAACATCTTGGAACAGTTTACAGAGATGGTGCAAGTCACCAAGCAAGGAGGGGGCAAGAGGGTGGTGACCATAAGCACAGTCGAAGAGGTAGGTTTTCAGGTGGCTTTTGAAGACAAATGAAAACAGTTGCATGACCCAAGCAGAATGTTGTCTATCCTGGATCTCATAGGTGTGACATCAAACTGAGAACACAGCCCAATAGTACTCAGGCCTTGTCTAGTGCAGAGACACTTTATACAGTATATAGTTTGGGATATGGATGTGCATGCGACTGCCAGAATGGTGGAAGGTAAACTGGATGGTCTTCTTTTCTCTAGCAATTTGTGCGTTCTTACAACACCTTTTGTGGCTAGGCTTCAACCATTATAACTCTAAGGAGTTTTCCCAGAAGGTCTCTGTTTTGCTTCCTCTCTCCCTGCAAAACCCTCTTAAAAGCTACTCTCTTTGACCGTGCCTTTTGGCTAAAATCCTTAGTTCTCCCTTTTTTTTCCTGCTCAGACTCCTTATCATAAGTACACCTAATACTTATGATATGCTCAGATTCCTTATCATAAGCACACCTAATACTTATGATAAGTATGGGACGTCCTCCCCACGTGAAAGGCGCTATACAAATGTAATCTTGTTGTTGTAATACATTTACCCTCCAAAAAAGGGTTAATGTTACACCAACATAAGACCCATTAATATAGTAAGATTGAAGAGACCTGCACTCTCTCTGTTCTAATCAGCCACCTTTTTAAACCTGACCAATACTGCATTAAATATGGAAACTCTATGGCTGGCTTAGTCACTTCTTACTGTAACTGCTGACTCTTACGCAAGGAATCGTCAAATGTTTTTATGCTTTCGGCCATGTTTCCTCTTCCCTGCCCTCTTCAGCTCTCCCCTCCCTCCCCCCACAAGCTTGGGCTCCGAGTCTCTCATCTATTGCGTTTTGAGATTTCTCCCAACGTGTGAGGCGCTATCTAAATGTAAACTGTTGTATTTACACATTTCTGACGTGAATACATGACATTGAAGTCACCACAACAAACTTTTGTCACTCGGTTCCGTGTGCAGAGTACGATAGTTTGACCCTGAAAGTCAGAGATATTGACACTGAATCTATCTCGTGTAACATACTGATCGTCAAACCCCAAATATCCTTTTGAAAGAACAATTTCTAATTTGCTTGCAACAATCCTGAACTTCTGCTATAATAGATGGATCCCTCCACTTGGTGGATAATTGAGGAATAATAATAAAATATAATAATCCTTGCATTCCATGTTGGGAGGATATCTCACAGCAGTCCACCGGATATACTGTATCCTTTGTGGAGTCCCATAGAGTAAAGGTTAGAGCTCTTGCCTAACCCAGGGGGACCCAGGTTTGATTCCCAGATAGGGCAAGTTTGCTTACTAGCAGTAAGTAAGAACCCGGATGTTAGTCAATTGATGGTTTGCTTTCCAGCGGTATTAATCCCTTTTTAAAAAAATTTGGTCACTCAATCCACGACTGTTTGTGGGACAATTGGTTGCCACATTTTGCCCACATATACACATTCAATCCACTTTACAATATATCCTGTGAAGCGCTTTGAGATGTGATAAGATACATAATAATAATATTAATGATTATTAATTATTAATAATTATTAATTATTATTATATCAAACGCAAGGATTATTATTATTAAACAAAACGCAAAATACTGCAGATGCTGGAAATCTGAAAACAAAAACAGAAGTCGCTGGGAACATATTCCCAGCTCCGTCCTGACGAAGGGTCATGGACCCGAAATGTTGACTCACTTTCCTTTCTCCCTAGATGTTGCCTGGCCTGCTGAGCGACTTCTGTGATTATTATTATTTAGATCCAGAGGTGAAAGTGCTACAAACTGAGCCAGGATGACACAAAAAAATAAAGAAAAGGTACAATTTGCACA